CTACCCTAACTTACTTTATATATATATATATATATATATATAGAAAAATCCAAAAAGATTCAGTTTTTACACAAACTTCACCATTAATTAGAATACAATTTTGTTAACAAAACCAGTGGTCTATGAAGCAAGCCAACAAAAAGCGAGTTCCTGATGCGTAATTTTTTTCTTTTTTTTTACAACTACGAAGTCGTAACTAAGAAATTGAAAAGAAAAAAAAAACACTAACTACGCACTAAGCGACGAACTATGATGAATGAACTTACTTCATCAAAAAATAATGATGAATGAACTTACTTCATCAAAACCAACTTCAATACACAACAAAGCCATTGTGCACAGAATTGCATCCATATGCTCTCCTTGCGTCTCATCTTCTGGTACCAACCAAACACATCTGCAACTTTTCCAGTCGTAAAAAGAAGTGTTTGAAGTTTCCGAATTCCTGCTGTGCCAAGCCATAAATGTAGTGTTTCATGAATAAAAATTAGGCTATCCGGATAATATTTATAATCTGCGAATACATTTACGTAAATACTTACTTATGAAGAGCATTAAGTAAGTGAGGTGCGTAATTTCGCATAATCATTTCATCCGACCGACTACATTTCTCGAAGGTTAAGTGCAAATCAGCAACATCGTTGACATACGGTAAATGCCGCAACACCGACAAATTGTCATGCCTATAAGTAGTTATTATACCTTTTCAAGATGGGCCGTTGATGGATTTGAGAAGTTAAAAAACTACCGGAACTATAGGCTCTCCACACATATTTTAAATAATTTAGCTCTGGTACAAAAACCAAGATAATAAAAAAGTAAAACGGAAGTATCCGAATTTTGTAAATATCCGTATTTTGTATTCATAATGGTTAAGGAATGAAGCGAATATATCAGAATTCGAAGTGAAGTCAACCGTTTAAAAAATATGCAAAGTAAGCAAATATTAAAAATAAAGTAGACCTGTCAAGCAAGGTATGGAAAATGCATTGCGTATCTAAACGAACGATAGGATCACCAGTTAAAGCTAATCGTAACAGTGTGTTTGGGAAATTATTACTAAATATCGTTGACATGAAACCTGTTCGATATTTAGTTGCCACCTAAAAATAACTAATGCTACATTTGGAATTGGCATAAATCAGAGGGATGATTTGCAGATGAAAAAGTTCGAGCACTTACGCTGAAACGACATAAACAAAAAAATTAGAACTTCATGCATCAAGACTGAAAGGTATACCTTTAGAAGTGTTTTGACTAGTATATGTTGCAGGAAAGTATCACTCGGTTTTAGTGCTTGACTATCTTTTCCAAGATTTGGTATGTTAGCGGATATAAAAAGCATAATTTCCACCTTAAAATAGCAAAATACAGCATTTGTTAGAGTCCTCGACCAGATTTTACAACAAGCGTTCTGAATTCCGACTTAATTCATAGCTCTTAGCAACTTAAATCTAAACAGTTGCAAATAAATATATCATAAATATTTAAAGGATTACAAAAGAATTTTATAGCAAAAAAAGCAGCGGAATTTCGTGAGACCCACTGCAAACAAATGGTTAACAAAATATGTAAAAAAATAGACTCAACTACCTTTTGATAGTCAGGCAGTGCGTATGCATAGTCACCCATAGCATTAATCAACGATTCCTGATATATTTTTTCCTGATCAATAGATGGGCATTCTTCGGTTTGTTGAAATTCAACAGATCGACGTAGGTGCTTCAGTAAAGAATTGAATATACCTAAACTGACATATATAACAGTTACAAAAAATGATAACTTACATAACTTCTAAGATTCCCCTTGCTTGTGACGGCTTTTTTATTCCTCTGTTACATCAGTGATGTGTGCCTTGATTGTGGTCCAAATCATAACACGCAAAAATATTAGGCTTTTTTTTGAGAAAAAAAATCACCGAAAAGATAGGGAACGCAAAGAGAAACAGGTAACAAACAAAGATATCAATCTAAAATATCTTTATAAGCCAGCATTCATACTAGCCTATTAAAGATGGTCCGATACTGGTACTTGCAATGGAAACAATGCTCGACAAAACCGTCGCGATACCAATGCGAACAGATGCATTCGAATTTGACATATTCTCCAAATGAGTTATTAAAGCCTGGAAGTACTAAGGCACAAAACTGATAATCATTCAATGTGTATGCTGGAATCAAAACTGGATCAAAATAGAGTAAATGGATATTAAGATACTGTTATTCAACAAACACCGGACATACATTTCAAACCAACTCATTGAAACAAGTGATAAAAACTTTGAAAGTTCGAAAAATTACTTGAATGACAAAACTCGGGTCTTTGACACTATACATAATAGCACGAAATATGTAAATCGCGAATATAGGCGGAGGCTCCCATTTTGTATGTAAATCACAATGTTTCAGTACTGGATCCAAAACAGAAACCAAACCGAAAGGTGCTTTTGCCATCAGTTCTCTACAAGATATCGAACAAAAAATTTTAAAGCTAAATTTCTCCTTAATTTCTTCACTAACATATGGATTAAACATTTCATTGATGCTTCATTGCATATAATGCATACTCTCGAAATAAACGTCAACTTTGTTTACAAGTTGTAAACCAGCATACATACAATAAGTTGTATCCTGCTAACAACATACAACTTATTTGACATCAATGCCACTATGTTCAAATGAAATGAGAACTGAATGTGAATGAAATATGGTTTACAAGTATATCGAAACATACCGTATAAATTGATCAGCAAGCGCCTTCGGGTTTTCTGCTACACCATCCATTGCATAGGGTTGGTCGATTACTGAGAATCGATTATTCCTTTTTTCCTTTGATTCTTCTAAAATACTAAACTAACAAACAGATAACATTGTACCCCTCCAATTCCTGCATACTTTGTCATCATCTGCTATTACCTATACGAAAAATGTACTGTAAAGTTTGGGAAAGCTAAGATTTTCCTATCAATTCCACGATTCTCGTGAAATTTTTAACGAGGCCATTATAGACTTTCATCACTTTAACATCGTTCGAACCGCCGCTGCTTAAAAGCCAAAAAAAGAGCTAGCATAAAATTACAAGGAAATATTCACCGCAATCATCCTCTTGAAGATTAAACAGAATTGAAGGGATGATTTTGTCCATATATTGTCTTTCCCATACACTAGTTTGCAATGGGTCAGTCGTTAATTTCCACATAATACCTAGAACAAACTCAAAAGCCAATGAAGATGAAGAATTTCAAAAGTCGTCTTTTTTTATTTTAAATAAAATTGCAAAAACTCGAGTCAAATGAAACTACCTCTTAAGCCACGTAAACCCGCATATCGTGCATCTTTTGAAGTTTCATTGTTATTTGCATGACACATTGATGCAAATTTAGAAATAAAGAAGTCGTACTCTCGGTGGTAAGCGGGAGTGTTTTCTTCGATATTGGCAAAATTCACAAATGAATCTGTTGCCAGTTTCTAGAAAATTCAGAAACCGGATTTTATAAATCTGACAAAAATTCTCAAAAAAAAGTTCACAAAAAAAGGATTCTCAAACTCTCATCTTCAACTATCACTTTCCTAGTCAACTTTCCAACTTTCCACTCTTTCTGAGCATCTCAACAATCTAATACTCCTGACCTTATATAACTCTGTTAATAGATTTTATACGACAGATTATTCCAAATATTTATAAAAACCTGTATAATGTAGGGCAAAATAGACTTACTACTGCCTAGTTACTTTTGTAGAGAACTCAAGGGGAGGTTTAATAATAAAGATATAGAAATGTCTTTAAAATAACATTATATCTTCATATCATTCAAAAAAATGACTGATGTAAGTATTCTGTAGAAATAAGGTAAGTAGGCAATCAATATTCGGGAATAAGGAAAGTGTCATAACTCCATAACATAAATTGCTAACGAAAACAAAAGATTTAACCTCCATTTGGAAATGATTCGTCTCCAGCAGCTTCTGCAACATCTTGAGGAAATGTTCGATAAACTTATTTAGACTCGATAAATCGTGACAACTTTGTAGGAGCTGATCCATCGCTTCTATGGATATCTGAACTTGACATTTCACAAAGTTTAAAAATTTTTCCCTTTTAAATTTACTGAATTTTCTTTTGCCAAAAAAAATCAGTAGTAAAAACCATGCTCCTTTAAAATATTAAAGTACAAAAAAGTTTTCCGAAATATTTGTAGCACTGTTCACATACACAGGTAGACGAATGGAAAAACCTACTGGAGGCAAGCAGAATGGTCCGGTACTAACAAATCCACAGTATAAATAGTAACTTCTGAAGTAGATGAAGATACTTATATTTTCCCTTCAAAGAGTGGGTTTTTCGATATAAAATACCGCGAAAAACTTAGTACACCTTGACTTGGTTGTATCTTTGGTGATACAGATCTCTGGATAACCGCGAAACAATATATTCACCAATTCTGTCTAATTTTTCAGGTCGTGATATTGCATAAAACGTTAGCTTTTGCATATTTGAATTGATCAAGCCTTCGGTTAATGAACTAAAAAGATAAATTATGCTAGAGGAGTAAACAGAAAAATTACACAAAATGCAGTAAGTTAAACCCAAATTCAAAATTGGTCGCAGTAGATAAATTGTCGAATCAAGTATTCGAATCAATAAATCTCGCCTCACAAATAGGCAAGAAACACGAAGGTTTTATTCTAATGTTTGAGCATATTTCAAAATTTAAGTAGAATAATCACCTCGGGTAAATGGCGTCGACAAGTCGTCGATATCGCGGTTTGCATGGGGTGCAACAACATATGAAGGTATCCATGAATACAGATTCACAAAAATTTGAACAGGAACTGGGTAAAACTTAAAATCAGTAATTTTCGATGAATTTTTCGAGGTTATATGAAAAACAGTCTAAAACTCCGATTTCAGGGAGGAAAATTTCCATAGAAATTATCTTACCGCCGTCAGTCAGATTCATTCAGCTAATAAGTCTAACGAACACTTTTGTATGATATTAGTAATACAAAAAAGGAATGCAAAAAAAATGGGACAATTTTAAGAAGCAGACTGTTCAAAAAACAAAGGAGCTATTCTTGTTAGATATGCTAAGAAATGAGAGTGGTAGAAATTCGTACATGGAAACTATGAAATTTCCTGTTGCAGAAGTTAACTAAACTTCGCAGAAATTTTAACAGCAATAAAAAGGAAGGGTGCAACATAGTACAAAATATTCCAAGGAAGTAATATGACCCGCCACTATGCTCCACTCAGAAATACATCTACATAATATCTACCTCCATTCTCTCTTCCCCCTATTTCCATTAAAAGGTGGATTAACGAGAAGTTGGAAACAAAAGACTGCAATTTGCACACTGAAAACAAGAAATCTTTGCTTCAATAAGTTTCGTGATAATATAAAGGCAGCGAAGTGCACTGCCTCAATTAGTTGAAAAAAAGAAAAAAGACCGTAGTCTCGGACAAAACGACTCTTATGTTTGAATTTGCTCGCAATAAAATGGTTTAGTTACTACAGCAAATTCATGTATTACCATAGCTCATCAAAATACTTGTAGTTCTTATTGAACCCTGTTTCTCTGAACACAATCTGTATACTGCATATTGGGCCCTTAATTCTCCCTCCCTCCCAACTCAAACATTTTCCCCTGAATATCTCCCTTGTCGGAGTCATTTGAGAAGTCATGATACAACCCTATCATTCAAATAACAAAACATACAAAACAGCTGGGAAACAATACGAAAGGTCAAGTCATCGCATCGAAAAATCACACTGCCGCCCAATTTATCCCAAAAGCCTCACAAACCGGCTTACCCGACCTTCCAAATTCACATAAATTGTTTGGTATAAATACAGCACCAGTCTGTTACTGCTGCCTGTCGCAGATTCGGTTCTAGTGGGCACTTCACTTCATTTCAGTACTCTTTTAACCTTTTTGAATAGAAAAGAAAGATCTTCGTATCCACTTGCTAACCAGATTAATTATTCAGTCCATTGCCGTGTTTTCATCCCTCATTATATTGTTAGTATTATAAATTAGGATTAAATTAACGGTTTAATCAATCAACCTGGTCAGTCACCCTATCCGTCTTTGTCACCTTACCTTCATTGTTACTTAATCATTGGTTGCTTTTTTCTCTCACTCCCCTTTTCCTCTCGATATTTCAGATTATTTTTTATCAACTTAACTTTATTGATAACTTCTTGTTGGCATAAGTATTGTACCTTGAAATATCCTGGTCGGCGATTTTATGAGATAAGCTGATTTCCACTGTCGGTGTCGAATAACCGTTGACACTGTTTTTTTATTATCTTCACCTAAATATATATTTGAAAATGATTCAACTTAAATTGGCAGGAAACCGAAACAACCATTTGGGCTGTTTCAAAAAACTTTGTGGTACATCACCATTGACAATAGTCCGGTAAATAGTCAAGTAAACAAGCTCATTTATGATGAAATCATTTGTGTTCTAAACGAGCTCAAAATGAGAAGCAACACACTTTTAAATAAACGAGGGGTTTGGTTAGAGAGCTATTTTAGATAAAGGAAGGGTTTTCGAAGAGTAAACTGCTTTCTGGAAATGCTTCTCACTAATTAATTCGTGACAAATAAGCTGATTATAAAATACTATCAAATGACTATTGATCAGCCTCATGTTTTTCACGACAAAATGGTTTTGTTTCTCCACAATGAATTTAAATACTGTATTCGAATGGTGGTGCCGTATGAGTCCCGCTAAAATTAAGTGCTATGGATTTTTAGATTCTTACTCTTTTCATTTCGATTTTATCCATTTTAATTTATGAACTTTTCTGAAACGAGGTATTGACAGTTCCTGCGTAGTTGTTGTTACTTTTTTTCTTTTAACTTTTCTCACAAAAAATACGAGTATTTAATACTTGAATGTCGGAATAATCAGAACATAAAGCGGATTTATTGTTTTTAGACAAATGAAATTTTAGCAAAAATGCAGTTGAAATCCGAATGTATAGGGAATAAATTTTCTGTGACACAATGAATTGTTTGTAAAAAAAATCGAGATGATATATTGTTGTGATAATGTTTAAACTAAGGAAGTGGAAACTAAGAAAATATAGCTTTCTTTATTAACAAATGCCACTTATTGCGAAATTGAATTTGTTAGTAGGTCCAAATGTTTAATCGACAACGCAACCGTAATCAGCTGTTTTTTCTTCAGAAAATATAAATTTTTTTGTTTCGTTATATTCAAACTTTTTACATCTAACAAATAGTCATAGTTTTATTGTTCGAACATAATCGCTGTTTCTGGTTTATCTTAAATGCTTTGGATTTACGACAATAAATATTTTTTTTAAATATCGTTGTGACCAAAAGCACTTCTGCTAATTTAAGAAAACGAAGTAAATATTAAAAAGATTGTTTAAAGAGATGAGAAAGTTGTCTCAGCAATTTGCAACGGCTGCAGAAATTCATTCACTTGAACGAGCTCTTGATGCTCGAGGAGAACATTTGGGAAATATTGAAGAACTTGTCAGTTATCTCAATAGCTTGTGCAGTGTGCTTCCCAGTGTGAAAGAGCTTCCCAGTCAAAACGGATTCTATGGTTCTCTTTGCAAAAGATATGTTTTCAACTTTCAAACTTTTATAGAATTTGAATGGTTTATAGGAATGGATATGTCCTCAATAGCAGAGAATAGCAAATTGTTTATAAAAGGTAAATGTTAATGATGATGAAAAATAATCAGTTTTTATTACAAGGTTGCTAGATATGTGCTGTCGGAAGCGAGTTCGGTTCGTGCAGTTACATATCGCATCTTACGGAAAGCTTCTCAGCTACCCGATGACTTATCAGTGTTGCTAAATATGCATATGGATTGCTTTATAATAAGGTTCATTATTGTTTTTTCATCATCTATTTGGAATGAGAGGTTACTATAGAAGAGAGTGTTATATTTAGCTAGAATTTAGATAACATATTGGTTTGAATAGTATTACTCATGCTTTTGCAAAGCGTTCTTTTTACTACGCTAACGCGCTTCCTCCGTTTGTTCTGCAAACCTGCGTCTACGTCAACTAAATGCAAAGTGAAGTTGGGGATCTGTATCTTTCTGATGTTTGTTCTAATGAAATCATGAAATAACGCAGTAAAATAGAATTTATCTTATTTATTATACATGCAGAGAAATTTATTGCAGATCCTTAGAACTCGGCACTAACAACTCTGAGGAGCGTACTGAAGCTTTAAAATTATGTACGATGATGTTAAGTCATATGAATAAGAAGGCAAAAAGTTCAGATAATGGAGTGAAAAAGAAAAATTCTTCGAGTGCTATTTTTCCAGAAAATGTTTGTCGCACTTTAATCTCGATTGCCAGTTGTTCCTTCGCAATACGACCAGACAGAACAAAAGTTGAAGAGAAGGAAGATGAGTGAGTTTTTTTTTGGACGAAATCGTTTTTTAAATTATGAAAGTTATATGTTCATTCAGTATGAATGAGCTTCTGATGCCAAAAGCTAGTGCGTAGGTTTTTCGAAACACTCGATTCTATCAATTTTAAAACTGGTTTATTCAATACATCTACTGTATAGATTGTCGATAATTTAGATCTCGTAATATTATCATGTCAATACCAGGTTACGACTGCTTTTTTCGAGTTTATAATTCATCCGTTTCTTTTTTTAACGATAATCCTTGTGCTTATCATTTTGGACATAGACAGGATGTATCCCTCTCAGTTTTAATAAACGAAATTGCGGGTCAAATTCAGGCAGCTAGTTTTTTAGGGTCGATCGACTTTACATTCAATTGAGTTTGTACGAATAAAGTCGAAAAATCTAAAGTTATATGACATGCAATCATGTGCCAAATAACTTTATCAAATTGCAGATTGGCATTTTCATGTTTCGCTATAATAGTCGAACAGGCTGTTGTTGCTCCAGATCTCGTTTTGAATTCTATTGATACAGGTATACAAATATTACAGATTTTTGTTCACATACGTCTTTTTTGATTAAGAAAATGAACTTATTTGATGTTTGAACTTAATAGATTTACTACCAACACTCCTCGTAATTATTCTTTTTATCTTAATCCGTAGTTTGGAATGTCTATAGGTTGGACTGTAGAATTTCTTACGAATGCAGCATTTGATGATCGTTTATCCAATTTTGTTAGTCGGATTTTGTGTGCATGGCTTGATTCACCGCAACTGAGGATGCAAGCTAAATTAAGATTGGTCTTGAATGTATGTCCTTAATTGTTCAATTACTTATTTTAGTTTCTCGATTTGCTTCACATTGTTTTAATCCTTGTATCAGTTCCTACGGCCAATGTTCATATGGCCCGTTGGATTTCCATGGTTTGTGTCATTAAATCGGTAATTATAAAAGCTGCTTTTTATTTGTGATAATTGCCTATTTTCAGCGAATTTTCACTTCAGCAGTTGAAATCGAACTTTTTGAGCAGAAGGAACTTGTAAAATTGTTAGTTTTCCTGATGGTATTTTACTTTATTTTTTTCTTTCTTGGGAAATGGTTTTATTATGCCTGTACAGAAGTTAAAATTTTCGCATCAGAAAAATTTTCGAACATTTATTTAAGACTTTGGCAAAAAACCATTCTAGCTTCTTCTCACTTGTGTTTAGTCTGAAAAGCAGCTCTTATTATATCCATTTGCAATTTTTATCTGATTGTAACTTCGCTTCATTACTCATTTTTACACTAAATTTATTTCTTTACTTGTGGTTGATTTCTATCCATTTCAACTTCAATGAAATTATTTTATTATAGAGAGGAGCATTGGCTATCGAATTACTCCTTCCAATTGAGAAACTTTTCGCAAATATTTCTAAACCTTTTACGCACTTGGGCCGGTCTTTTTGCTTGCTCAACTTCGGGTGATCAGAAAATACCAGCTGTTTCTGCGTTAAGGTATGATTTTTCAGCTGAAGATTTCATTACCGTGAATTTTTTGCACTTTCTTTCCTTTTAAATCAATTTCCGAATTCTGAAAATTTTTTAACTTTTATAGTCTAAAAAAATTATTTTCAATAATTGTTCTTCGATATTGATCTAGGGTAAGACAGAAAGATCATGCAAAAATTCTTACCAAATGAAAATTTTATGAAAGTTTTGGAATTCATTCAAGTACAATCATCCTTTTTATGCAGTACCATTTTTTTTTCCGACATCTTACAGTTGGGCTCACTTATGGCTATCGAATGTTTTCAGTTTTCTCGATTGCATAGGATTAAATCGACATGTAAATAGTTATAAAATTCGTGATGTAATCATTGAATGTTGCTGTGAAATTTTGGAACTTCCATATTCCAAAACGAGATTCACGGATTGGCTTCATACGACACACTACTACTGTAAGTTTTTGAAAAGTAATATCGAAGGACAATCCGGTAGGGTTGCTTATCTTTTTTGAATCACTTTAATGGCAAACGAAGGAACAAAGTGTTGCTATAAAAGAATGAGAAGCGACTTATTATTTGACTGTCACTAAGAAAACAAATAAGCACAAAATGATTTTGCAGTTATAAAAGGTAATAAAACGCATTGGATCAGTTGCAGTTTTCAGTTTCGAAAATTTATTTAACTTCAAGACTGTGAGGAAGTGATTATTTGGAGAGGTGATGGGTTATAGATGGTGGTAGATGGTTTAGATTTAACGGACCGGTATAAATGTCCTAGGCTTGTAATTGCATTTTAATGACATCGAAAACATATGGAGCAATTTTAGTTCTCTTTGTTTATCAAAAGCCAAGAGTATTTATGAATGAATTTGAATAGTCCGAACAAGTTGTGAATTCTGAGATGTCAAAGGTACTTATGGTCATGTTAAACAAGAATTCAATGTTCAATGGAAGAATTTAATTACAGCAACAATGTATCATCCAGATGCTTGCAAATGTTCTGTGCGCAATGAATTTGTTTTATTAGAGCATGAAATTCTTTTAAAAATCGACCAAGTGAGGTTTTGGCGAATCAGTTAAAGTTTAAAGTGTCATTAACAATAAAGAAAAAAAGATTACAAATTCTTCTCACTGAATTAATATTCACTGGTTCATTTGTATTATAAGAATTGCTAGGTACATAGAGAGACAGGTGTACTGAGGAGAAATGAAGGAATATCTGTGATATGTCCTTTTGTTGCTGGATGCTTTAAACATGGCAATAAATTCTTGGAATATGATTAACAGCTATTTTTAAATTATCGGTTTTAACGTTCAAATTATATCGATATTTCAGCTAATTTTTTCAGCAGTCTACTGTTAACGATTTGTTAGTGTCATTCCGCTCAGCTATCGTTTACTTGCTCATCAACGCCAACCTAATTCAGGTAGCTACAAAATCTATAACAGTCAATGGTGTGTAGACGGAACTCATTTGCTATTATTTTTTTTGTTTTGTTTTTGCTGCTCCTTTTTATGCTATTTCTCAAATTTTATAGGTTCTCGTATTCTTGTTCAAATTTGTTAGGAAACAAGCACTTATTAGAATAAGCAATTTTAAACTCATTTATAAGATCAGTTGCAATTGTATAATGCATATGAATTATTTTTAGACTCTATCACGGATCATATTGCAAGATCCAGATGACCCAGTGGCACTTAGAGCAACACTTTTGATGCATGATCTTTTGCTTGCGGTAATATTGCTTTCCATTTTCCTTCCTTTTGCAGATTTCAGTCTGAGATGAAATCTTCATTTCGGTTCGAAATAGAAAATTTCCAGTTTACTGGAGAACTGAAAAAGAAAGTTAATATTTTGGTAAAGATGACGAAAGAAAAAGTGTCGGAAATTGTTAGAGATTTGAACTGAATTAAAGTTTTTTCAAACTGAATTCCAAATTCTTCCTTTAGATGCTTCGAATAGCATCTTTCCCACCGCTATGTCGTTTTTGGTTTGCCAAACCTACTTAATCCTTTACAAACTCTTACGAGCAATTCTTTCACCACCTACTCTTTCAAATGTTCATTGTCTCCATTGCAAATCGAAATACAGTATTTTCGTATGAAAAATTAGAATATGATGAGGAAAAAAAATTTATTATTTATTCGAGAAGCAGAGGTATAGTTTACTTAGGAAACTTTTCTCAAACGAGGTTTTTTTTCTTTAGGGCTCGACTTGTTTACCAATGGAATGGAGATTTCGAGTTCTGAGTTTGCCAACACTTTTGCATAATGCTAGTGAAATAATCAGTGAATCACATGTTACAAAAAAGTATTCCTTGGATGATATTAATTATAAAACGGATAAATTCATTTTTACACATACCGACCGAAGGTTTATCTTTAAAATTTTGGTAATGGTAATGATCAGGTACAACTGCATGGAAATAAAAATCGTTGTGAGTGTTTTTGTCAAAAAATTTCTGGTAATTTCTTTCTAGTAACTTAGAAACTAATTTGCTGATCCAACAGTTCGTTTTACTACGCCACCCAAAAAATTCTCCTTCACCTCGTTAATCGGAAATTTTATTGTTACATATTTTTATAACTGATGTTTAGGAATGCTGTTATTCTGCTTAATCGTTTGAACATCTTGAACGGCATAACATTAGCACAGAAAACACAACCATTTGCAATCACCAATCTTCAGCTTTTCGTACAAAGTAGTCCAGCTGCCACAAAGTTGCGTAAATCGAATTTGTCGAAAATGAGCTTCGGCGATGGAATCGGAGATAGCAGTAAGATGGTCCATTTCGTACTAGAAACTATAAGGATTTCTTCGCATTTTCTTAAAGCGACATTTCTATAGTTTTTACCTATGCTGAAGAGTACTTTTACATCATTCAATCACTGCTGCAATTTAATTTGATTTTCACAATATCACCATCTGCTGCGATTTGCATCGTGCAAAGTTTGAAACAGTGAAGTATTCTGCTTATTGTTATTTTGAGGATACTGCTTAGTTTATTTGTTCTAAAAACCATTTGTTAAGATAATATCGAGACAGTACTGGAGAAATTGCTGTTTAAAGCCGTGGAATCAGACGGAGGGCTCTGTTGGCCTGTTGTCAACAAACTATTCCAGCTTCTTCAGATTTACTATTGCTGCGAAGATGTACCTATCAAATGTTCTAGGGACTGTTACAGTATTTTTAGAATGGTCTGTCAATTTTTTCGTCAAATACGTTTGATTATTGTTTGCAGAAACGATAACCAAGTATTCGCAGTTCTGTTTGAGCACTTATTGCTTTTCTGAGTTTTATTTTATGCGGGGTTTTTCACGAGACGAGATATTTTCCCTTATTGTTGCCAAATATCTGAATATATTCCCAAGTTGAGACAATACTTTTTAGATATTTAACTTTATCACTCCAACAGAAGGCACGTTGATTAACTTTAATGACGATCGTTTCATTATCGCATGTTGTTGTCGCGCGATATATATTTCATTGCTCTTTGCCAAACGAGAAATACGATACAGAGAACTACTAGCCAATTTTATTAATAACTTTGTAGCGAGTATATCAGCGGTAATTTTTAAATTTCTTTGAGTCTGGATATATTCAAATGAATTCCCAAGTTAGGCATTTTGGTTAAGGCAGTGCTGACGAAATTTGAAATTCTTAAAACAGAGATCTTTAAGGATGCATTGTTCAATGGGCCATTGTCTCCTAAGAATTTGGTGAATACTGGTACGATATATTATTTTGCATTTATTGGTGCTGTATCTTCAATCGAGGAAGGAAGACGGATGCTAGAAGCGACGCCACTGTTACAGATGTTAGTTTTTTTGTCTGTTGGAAGAAGAAAGGATTTTGACTTTTATTATATACTGCGTTCACTTGCTCAGACTAGCCATTTACCTTAGTCTTAAAAATTAAATATGTAATATATTTCTGGATAGCATTTCAATAAATCAGAAACTGTAAGGAGGTATGGTAGCGTTCTTACGTATGTGTTGCTTTTTTCACGCTTGATGGTCGTTACTTATCATTAATTTAACCATCTATTCGTCCTTCTTTTTTATAGTTCGTATTTAGTACACCTCTTTGTCTGCTGCTTCGCTTCTCTGCTCATTCGTTCTATGATATGTACCATTTTATTGCCAACGGTAGATGGGATTTGGGATTGGTTACATTTGTCGTGTTCCAGCATGATTTCTTCTATCCTGCATAAATTGACTTCCTGCATAAATTATGCTCTACCTAGTATATCATTACTAATTCACCGTTTCATACTTTGTTACTGGTAGTTCGTTTAAATACTGTTGGATGTAACATTGCATTCTGCTTTTAGAGTGTGCATTCTTTGGATAACTTTCATTCATGATTTTTTAGAGACCCGTTACTTATAGATTAAAAGTTTTTACTTTTTTGTGATTGCACTATTTACTTTCGTGCATTTCGATCTCGTAACTGGAAGTTTACTGAGAACGCTTCTACAAATTATCACTATGAAATCTAACTTTTCTTTCGTAACTCGAACTTATGTTAAAAAAATTTCACTGTATATTAGAGTCATAGATCTTGAACGTTCCCTAACAGTCATATGCCTTCGAAACAGGAAATTTAAATTAAAAGAAAGCTTCATTTGAAATACTAATAGGAACTATGAAATAAACTTGAGTAGAAGTTGTTCATCATCGTACGCGACACAAATGGATCAGCTATTGCCGGGAATTTTATTCTTTTAAAAATCATAGAAAATATGTGCAATTTATCATCCACATAGATTTGATCTTAAACCATGTTTTTGATTTCTTAAAGTATTCCATGGGTCCTCATGTCCAGGGTCTGGAAACTCCTAACAAACCACAGGTTCATTTTTCATTTTACAAAGACATTAGTTGCATTAGATTTCTAAGAACTAGGAAGTATATTTACTTAAATTTTTACCTCATCTGTGTTTCCCATCTAGAAACTCCTTGATCCCCGTAATTCCGTTTTGATAAATGATTCTCCCGAAATTCCAAAGAAGAAATTTTCCCTCTCAGAAATCGATGCTATCCACAAATGTAACACAAAAACAAGGGAGAAGAATTGTGCATAATATACATAAAAAGCACAGAATTATGGCCTTTGTGAAACGTAGAAACACCGCTGTATTTGGCTCAATTTCCCGAGACATTTGTACTGTTCGCTAAGCAAAACACCTTGTGGTAATCCACCTGCTGGATTACAATATGGCCTGCAATGCTCGTAGCCTGATTCGAATACATGGTATGCTTCACAGCATGGTGTTGCATCTTGATATCCACTGGCACAAATCATCACATTACCAACTTTGTTTAGGGGACATCGGCCCGTAAGTACTGCTAGTTGAATCTGCATTAAACTTTGGAATGAATTTAGCGAATCGTTAGTCAATGAATTTGTTAAAATTTCGAACGAGTTTTTAAAAATTCTGTTTGATATAAATAAAATAGCCGATATAAACAGCCTGCGATTTTATAAAAAGAATAATCATATAGGTTACACAGCACTAATCATCCCGGATTGCTTTTCATTTGATGCAAACTTACTCATTTGGTAAAAGGATTACACTTTAGAAATTGTAAAGTTCAAAAGGAAAATGTTTGATGAATTACCTACCATAAACTTCAAAAAAGGGATTTTTGAGCCATTCCTTGAGTAATAGCACTAATGGTAATTGATACATTCTGCCAACTGCTCTATATTGCCAGCTTATTTTAACCCTTCAATCATTGCAAAAAAAAAAAAGAAAACGACAAACTGTAGTTAAAGTAGCATCATAATTGCATAGTGCGGCACATCCTTCGCCTAGTTCTTGACAGCACGCTTTAAATCGATCATTTGCCACTTCTTTTGTTATGCATGGTTCCCAGTTAGGTTGCCGAGGACACTTAATTATCAGATTAGAAGTTAACATGGTTCCCAGTTAGGTTGCCGAGGACATTTAATTGTCGGATTAGAAGTTAACATGGTTCCCAGTTAGGTTGCCGAGGACACTTAATTATTGGATTAGAAGTTAATGTTTCTCGAACTTCTATATATAAGCGGTATTTTATTGTGACTCCTACAACTTGAAATTACTTGAGACCTAACAAATAGTTTCACCAGATTTTAATGCACACTTCTTTACTACTTTACCCCCCGATTTTCTGTAAGTTTTATCCAGATCGTTGCTGGAGAAGCATTGATTGATTGTCGTAATGTTAAAAAAAAAAAAAAAAATATGTTTTCATCAATTACCTGAGCAATACCAGAGGGCTGTTTTGGATCAGGTTTGTAGTATGACCCTTCGATGTAATTGGTTGCTGCATCGATACTGTATTCCTGTGATGGGAGTAATGCAGGTCGTACTATCTGTAAAAATTATAAATTTATACAAATTAATCTCCATTAAATATGGTGAAAATAGGCAAACAAATAAAGGGTCATTTTATTTTGATGATTATTGCAATTAACCGAATAACTTTAAGATTAGTCGTGTAGTCCGATGAATAATAGTGAGACATTCGATCAGGTGTCAGGATCATGATTCATGATGTATTGTTACTTATTCCTAAGTTTTCAGTTATATCCCTCTTTTGTTTATTATAATTTATCATGGACGAAATGTCGTTGCCGTGGTTCCTCAGAAGTTTGCATTATTTATTAAATAAAGGAAATTTATCGGATAACAATATTTATTAAATAAAGGAAATGAGAACTTTTTTAGGCAGATGGGATTGTGGAAATGGTCTGATAGGTACAGTAGGTTGTTGGTTTGTCGTATAAAAATGTTGTTGCGGTTGGTGGACTTGCAAGTAAGGTGCGTGTTGTTGTGGTTGCAGTTGTTGGGCAGGTAGTTGTTGCCTATTAATAGAATACATTGGGACGGCTCGCTGTTGGATTGTTTGGGCTTGTTTTTGATGTGTTTGCAAATAGACTTGAGGTTGAGAACCAATGACTCCATATGGTGCAACCGCTTGTCCGGAAGCAACTGTATCGGTTCTGTGTCTTTGCGGTTGAAATAGCTGTGTTTGAATAGCAGATTGAGCGAGAAATTGATTCGGTGATATTTCAGCTACTGAGGTTTGATAAATAGGAGGCGCAAGTGTTATCTGCAAAAATAAATCATATAAATTTAGTTTTGTTTCGATTTGATTGAAACTCCATTTTGATCATTCAGTGGCTTATGAGGAACGTTAATTATTCATAAAAAATTGTTTATTTGATAATTTCAGTTTATAAAGGGAAAAATAAATTCAAAGTTCGAACAGCCTAATGGTATATATTCACATGATGATCTATTAATATATGTGTTTTCAACAATAAAATTCCTTGTCAATTCTATTTCTCAGCTACCCAACCTCTTTCTCGGTATCATTTTTAGTCTTTTAAAGGAACAATAATTTTTTTTACCGGTGGAAATGTGAACGGTGGAAATGTTGGGAAAGCAAATGTTGGAAATGATGGAAATGCTGGAAATGCGGTATCAATCACAGCAGTTTGTTGACTTGGTACTGGTGGAGGGGGCACATTTGGAAGTTGGATTCCTGACTGAGGCTGTTGTGGCAAATAATGGTAATGATATGAGTTAAATGATGATTCTCGCGTTGGTAGTGGCGATATCTAAATCAAAAGGCTGCTTGGCTTTTGCGCACCATTATAACTCATTTTTATGGGATTTTTAAATTTAAGTCGCTCTATTTTTACGTCATTGCTATTTCTCGAAAGTATGTTGCCTTCGACATTGTGTTTAGTCTTTTAAAAATTCTTAATTCTGGACATATAGCGTTTAAATTAATTTACTATTTACTTTATTTATAACATCCAAGGTGTTTTCGGGAAGATTTAAACTTATGACTTACCAAGCTGTACTTCGCTTCATATGGTGGTCTTTGTAGTAAGTGCTGTGGTAATAGCTGTTGGGTGTTCACAGTTTTGGCTTGAGATCGTTGAAATGGTTGGAAAACGTTGAGCGAGTCATTCATAAACTTTGGAGGATATTGTTCCTGAAGTAGTAATGGTAATAGTTGAAGTAATAATTTTTCTGTAAAGTTAACAAGAGCTCTGATGAGATAGGAACTGAAGTTATCAATCGAATTTCGGATGGAGGTATCTTATGCCACAATACTTCACACCTTTTGCATTAATTTATTGGACAATATTATTTTGCGCGCTGCAACTCTTAATACTGTTTCAAAATATCACATACGTAAGTCCATGTTACTGAAGTTTCGATATGGTAAGTGCCAGGTTTGGTAATTGCTACTCTTTGGAATTTTTATGTAACTTTTCCACTTATGGATATGCTATCTAAGATGTTCAATATAGAAACATTGCAGTCAAGGAGTATTTCTTCCAGTAACCATTTGCACAGCATAATATTTGAAATAGATTAGCAATTTTGGCTTCCAGATATTCCGACATTTGAAAACTGCTGAAGACATTAGACATTTGTATAATGAACAGCGCAGTTCCATATTCCCTCAAGTTCAGGAAAACATACTGTTTTCAATTAAAATTTCGCAATTATTATGATCTTCTAGACTTTTTATTTTGCAGTTCTAAACTGTTTTGGAAAAATTGTTTCCCATCAAAAAATTTCCTAAAGATTTATTTTTCTTATTTTATGATTCTCTTTCCTAAAAATATAAGAAATTTCAGTCAAATTCAAATGTCAAGAACAGTACGAAATTACCAATGCTTCTGAAACTGTCAAAATTAATCTACCGGTGTCTTGCTATGTCATGAGTCAGAATGTTACGTAAAGAAGTGCAAGATTCTATTAGTTGAAGCCTCAAGGTTATTACGTCCTCCATCAAATTTCTTAATTGTTTTGAAATTGATGAAAGCATGCATTGCCTAGTGAAACAATTTATAACTGATTTGTTCTTGGTAGCGTATGTCTCATGGCTATCTTGTTACACGTCTGATGACAACTTTCCGTATGAAACATACCGGCACAGGAATTTCCTTCAAGCATGGTCTACAAGTTTCGGGGCACATCGTAGCGATGAAATTCACTCGACAATGATGACACCGGGCTCGTTCACAACTTGGCAGATCTGCACCAATGTTGCCAATGAGGATCGAAACTGTTACGGACAGAAGAACCAATATCACATCCATTCGTGTCCGTTGTGCCTATAATATATTCTCACAAATGAAGAATCAGCTACATTGTTGGCTTACCCGGTTATGACACGACTTCATGCCAAACGTGAACAAAAAAATTAGGCTAATAGCTTGTTAGCTAGAGCCATTCCTCCTTTAAACTTGTTACTAGTTATTGGTTTCTGAAGAATGTTTCGTAAGCTTTGATAATTGTAGGTAATGCTGATGATAAAAGCTTAAAATAATATCGATATAATGGTTGCTGTGTTATCATTCAAAGACATTATAATTTGAATGCACTCACTTAATATAGAACAACCTTTGATCACATTCTCTATTTTGATTTGCACTGTCCTACTTCCATCCATAATATGGAAATGATTCTAATTTTACCAATCGTTCCTTCATTTTCGTTATTTATTAAATGAGATAGGATTCTTCTCATATGGAAGCGAATGCATTATAAGAAACTTTAATGGCTTGTACTTGAAATGACAGTCTTACTAAAAATTTCCGTTTTCTCTCGCTTGCTTTGCAATTATCCTGAATGCTTATCAGCTGATTGACAAGCTTTCTTACCTACTTCACAATGAGTACACTAGTTATACTGATCATATCACCTTTCACATTTATCCATTGTGCTGCTCAGAATATAAAAGTTAATATAAATTAATATAAAACTTAATAATTTATGAGTAGCGCTGACACAATCATCTTTGTATTGGCGGTAAAGAAATTATCATAAGAAAAAACGAAGAATGATTACTGTCACTACAAGGTAGTGGTAAGGAAATAAGGCATAAACTAGCACTATTTTTAATGAACATTCTGTAACAAAAATGAATTAACCGTAGAAGTCATTCAAATAGATCATCAAGGAGAATCAAGAGGACGAGGAATTACAAGAAATGCATTGAATTCATTTCAGTTCATAAATATTTAGATAATTGGAAAAATGTTTTGTAGTAGATTAAGTGTGAGGCTTTACTCATGAACAGTTTTACCTGTAATTATTCCAGTTTTTTTTTGGATGGATGCATTTAAGAGGCATAGCTCAAAAAAACACCCATCCATCACTTTCTTATTGAAAAGAGGCTGTTGAAAACTGAAGGGAATACTCTCCACGGGATTTAGCTATGCTTGGATGAGAAAGTCACAAACACAAGAATTTGTTGTCGCGACCGAGAGAAATAAGGGAAATAGCCTATGAATTTTTCACTGCATGAAGAAATCATTTTAGGAATTGATTCATGAAATTTAGATTCAAGCTTCTCTTTTCTGCATTATTGTCTAGGAGATACATGGCAGAATTACCGCCTTGTGGCCCAAGAAATACTGCCTCATCATTGCTGTAATCTTGACCATTTGTTCCTAGATAATACCAGTATGGTGAAATCTCGAGTAACCTCAAGAAATGAAAGGTAGTATTTCGAATGAGAAAGGCCATCAAAGTGAATTAGTATTAAAAAAATTTCCAACAGCTTTTTTCAATAAAATGTTAACGGATGAAATGTTGAAAATTGAAGTGAAAGTAACTAAAAGAAAGTATGGAAGAGAAATCAGTGATAGGAGTGGATAATCAAGAAAGAATTGAAAAGGAGATGGATGGTCATCGTAAGCCTTCTTCACTTCATATCAGTTAGAGATTAAAGCTGAGTATGACGAAAACTGAAATTCTGTTATGGTTGGTTCGTTTTTGGAAGGCTGCCGAACATGGAAAGAAACTTAGAGGAGTTAAGATAGTGTATTAGAAATAGAAAATGAAGATTAAAATTGCGTTTGCAAATATGAACAAATTTTTCGTCCACCCATTACCATCCGATCTACACAGAGACGATGGTCATTTGTAACTGTGTTATCCACCCAAACAGGAGAAAACTGCTATAAGG